GACGAGTCATAGAGCTCTGACGATGAAATTGCCTACCTGGAACACTTCATAATTGTGATTACTTTTCCCGAAGATGACCTGTTAAGAAGATTCATGTTTACTGCTCTGTAAAATTAAGTGGGTTTAACCCTGGGGAAGATATGAAGAATGTATCTGAGACTTCTGAAGACAGCAGGGGCAGCTTGCTTTCTCCTGAGATGCAAAGCCAGCAGCAATTCTCACCCTTCTGTAGAAACTGCTCGCAGTTAAGAGTACACATATCTGACCTTGGTATGCGTACTCCTTCTTGGGCAACTGCTTACTGCAGTTCAGGTACCTTCCTTTACAGGATCATCAAGCAGGAATGAACACTGGACAGTGCATTTACACTGTCCTCAAATGATTTCTGCTCTCAGTTAATTTATGTTTTGGACAAGAACACTGCAATGCAGATGGGTTCAATAAGAAAAAAGTAGAATACCGTATTTTAACACCTAATACTCAAATTCTTGCATTGACTAGCCTCTCATACCTACACACTCACTCTAGAACTGGCCCGTGCAAAGCTTTCTGTATATTCTATCATGGTTATTTATGCACTATAATTAAGTCAAATTAAATTAAATTTAAAAGGAAATAACCACTCCAATTTCCACAAAGATCATTCCCTAAGAACTATATCTGAGGCAAATTGCAGTCTATACTAACAGCAATTATTGTGAAGCTGTTCAAAGAAGTAAGAAAAAATTATTTTTTGATTTTCTAAAACACATAAGTGAAAGGTCTTTTTGTTTGTACCAAACATACCGAAAGTGAAAAAAACCTTCCTCTGTTGCTCTCTAGGCATCTTACAGAAAGGTTATGAGAACTAGAAATAAGAAATCTAGACCTTAAAGACTGGCATTTCTTAAAACACATCCAATAGTGAGCTCTGATACAAGCAGCTTCAGTGGCTGAAATGAAAAGAACAGGAGATGGGGTTGAGTTATGCAGCGTCACACACTGGAGGAGATGAGCTGAGGTGAAGGAGGATGGCCTCTCAGGCAGCCAGGTTTCCAAGGAAGGTTCTAATCTGTGAAGAACTTGAGTGCACTGATGAAGTTGTACACCTTCAAAGGAGAATGCAGCATAAGAACTCAAAACAGGTGAGCTTGTTTTCTCAAATGTACCCACTCTTTTTTGGTCTTCAGACTCTTCCACATCTAGTTTCTTATTCACACGTTTAATTTTCAAAGGATTGAAAATGTAAAAATTAAAGGAATTTAAAAATGTCTATGTAAAACTTCCTATAGGAATTTCTAGCCCTAGCCAAGCCTGCACATTTTTAGTATGGTAACCAATATTAAGTATAATTTACATAAACCCATTTTTGTCAACGAAAGACAGTCTATCAGTTTAAGAACTCATATGATTTATTATTAATGCTTTTGGTCATGGACTCCAGGTTTCTCCCCCCTCAGCTCAAATAATTATATAGCTGTCTGGGGACAAATTACTGCTCTTCTGAGTATGGTCTCTGAAAGCTGAAACGAAGAAACAAAGGGGGAAAGACAATTTGCATGATCAGTTCTATTTGTACTCAGCATAACTTGCCTTCTACTGCAGTATTTGGATTTTAGTGAAATTCTAAAAAATCTTCTGGGAAAAAATCTTTAATCAACTCTAAAGAGTTTCCCTTTAGCACTAAAACATTTGAGGTACTCTATCACCATTGTAGGTCTTGTTTCTAAAAGGTGGTTTATTGCAAGTAACAGAAAGTGAGTCGGACTCTTCAACAAACACGTAATTTTCTGTTTGGTAACACAGCATGCTCTGTGACAGTAGACTTGCTGTGAAGTTGCTAAATTCACCAAACAGTATGCCTTCCAATGGATGACAGTATCAATATCTGACAGAAATTTGACTGCTATGAAGTGTAAAAGGAAGAAACTGTTCATTTTAACATATAAAATAAAGGCATTTGTAAAACAAAAAAGAAATGTATTTTAAAGACATTCAGATATTACTGCACAATCTTCATTATTTTCAAAGGTTTTGCTATTCTTTAAAGGTTTTTTCACTTTGCATTTTGTCACTGATTTCTATTGATAACAATTTACACTTCCTGAGGATATACGCCTTTCTCAAGTATTCAAAAGAGAGTGCTTACAGAGCAGTAATGTGTGTTTTCTAGGATCTCTTTATATAACTTAGTCTTACAAGTTCCTATACCCTTGAAACTGAATAGCAGAACAGACTCCCTCAAACCATAGTCAGAGCATTAAGGCATTTCCAATGTTTTTATTTCTTATGTTTCCTGATTCATACTTGTGAATGGCCTATGATTGCAATACAGCTGCACTTTGGTGGTAATAAACACTCTACAGTTCTATTTTTTACTGCCAAAAATATAATTCCTATGATATAGAGTAGCAGCTACCTATAGTATCTTTCATTTAGATTGCAGTATTGGGTAGAAAGAAAACACATTATACAAGGCATATAGACAATAAGTATCAAGGAACACATGAGAAGTAAATTCTTTTTCCTCTTTAGGTCACCTGGGAGCCATCCAAAACATCAGGGTTATAACGAGAGACATGAGAAAGAAAGATTAGTGAATCACTTAATCAAAATAAGTATAAAGCATACTGCTTAATACATGGCAAATGTAATATACAGCTCTCAGGGTTTTGGTTTGTTTTTTGTTCTTGATGATAATACTACATAACTAAAAATCTAATAGATTTCAAGCTGACAAACTAGTTTGAGATTTAAATCAGTTTTTTGTCCTATGCTGAAAAAAATAAAGACATCACAGACACCTAGGAAGAGAGTGCCTTTTATATCTGTAACAAGCCTGATGGGCTCCCAAAGGACTTCTGTCAAAACAAAAATATAATTTGATGCTCTAGCTATAGCTAAACATTAAGAAGGTTGGGGTTTTTTTCATATCAATCATAGAACATCTCAGAAAGAGCAAAAGCAAACAGACAGTTCTAGTAAAGTGGAAGGACTCTAAAGCAAGAGAAGAACCAAACAAAAGGAAATTTAATCAAGCTGGCTAACAGTACTTTGCACTCAAGAGAGAGAAGGTGCCCCGACAGAAATGCATTGCCTGCATCTCCTGAGAACAAAACTCCTGATGCTGTGAGCTGAGAAATATTACACAGTTCTAAATCTGTGGCAGAAGTAAATGACAGAAGAAGTAACAAACCTCCAGAGACAGGCCAATTCTTACGTGGCCTATCAGACAAGCTATCAGTAAGAAACTGAATCAGTACCTGGCCCTGCAATAGAAATATAGTGTGGTAGGTCTGGAGGAGTCTCTTTTACATCTATTCTTTGTGACAAGATCAATATCTGAATATTAGTAGAATCAGTTAGGACTTCCTGACTAAATATATACAAAGAGGATACTTGAAGACAGAGACTTTAAATAATATTTATATTTACACTCAGCAATATGGAAGGCACATTTGAAGCTTACAATTAGGAGAGGAAAAAAAACCCCACAAACTAAAACATGAAAATTCCCACAAAGGTTCTACTAATGACTTATTTCAGAGTTTCTACAACTCATTAAAGTACATTTTTCTTTTCTATAACAAGCAAGATGGGTCATCAAAGCCACCTACTACATCTCTGGTCTTTACTTTCTGGGCAAGTTAGGTTAAAATACAATGTATTACTTTTCAGACATCTTTGCCCTAACATAGGTAGTTATCTGAACAGCTGAGTATCTGTATTTCTCTACCTGTCCACAAAAGAGAAGCCAGAACTACTGAGAGTCAGTTGATCCCTCAGTTTTGAGATACATGAAAGCTGAAATCCAGTCTAGTTTATGGAAAAATGTTGGACCAAAAGGGAAAGTTGCAACGTGTTCTTTACGTGTGTCTAGGGGAATTGAAAGCCCAAGCTGCCTTCAGCAAAACTTTTCATCTCCAAGAAAGTCTAGTATAGCAGAATCCTTTCTCTGGCCAAATCGCCCTGTAAATTCTCACGAAGCTCGCGCATACATTTATACAAGGGCTTGCTGTTCTGTTGGAGACTTTGTCATTTTCTTCCAAATTTTCTAAATCTGCTACATTTTTATTCCTCAGTGAATCAGAGTTAAATGCATAAAGGAAGATGACACAATTATCTGAAAAGTATCACATAAATCTATTCTTCTTTTAGACAGGATTCAATTTTAAAAATGTATGTGCACTTGTATCAAATTATTTTAGGACAGCTTTTTATTAGAAGAACAACTAAAATAGGAACGTTCTAAATAAAGACAAAAGACCAAGTTTAAATAATGAACAAGAGAGAAGAAGAGAGAAAAATACTTTCTTCAGGAAGTTGACCTGGAGATGTGGCCAGTCTTTTCTCTGCTTTGCTTCTCCCTCCTTCAAGCCATCAATGAAAAATATCAGGAAAGTGAAATATAATCTTAATTTAAATACTACTTCCAAATGAATATAAAATAGATATATCAGAGCTAAGACATCTATTTTGTTTTCTAAGCAAACTAAGAAAGTGTTTATTTGCCTTTGGCTTTTAAAAATATCTTCATGTGGTGACTATGTAATTCCAGTTAAAAATTAGACACTTTCAATTCTTACATTGAGACTTTATAATTCGTCAGTAATGCTGCTTCCTGCTGGGTTCTGGGTTTCCTCCTTCTTTTGGGATTTTGTCTAATTGCACCCCAATGCTATGTCAGCATCCCAACATGATACATCATGAACCAGTGAAATCAAACGAGTATCCTGCACTAAGAACAAGACTCCGGGCATCTGTCGCATCACAGATCAAAAGCATTATTATACCCCTCTGTTATTCATTTAATAACTGGATGAAAACCTCTTTTGTTTGTCTAAGGTATTGTTTTTCTATCTTGGGCCTTTATGTGAACATTCTTGCTGAAATTTAGCACAGTTTCATAAATATTTTTTACAGTAACTTCTAGATAACAATTGTGATAGTAGTCTAACTGAATTTGTAACTTCACTTGAAGTTTATGACGATCCTATTATTTCCTACCAATACAAAGGAATATAATTACAAGTAAAACATCATTAAAGCAGAATGAAACGCTTATCGTGACTTTTATCTTCAAGTAAAACATTCAATTTCAGTTACAGAAGGTTTTATAATTTTATTTTATTAAATAACAGAGATATATGAAGAAAAGATTCCAAAAGGATAATGAAAAAAAGATCAGAGAAAAAATGCTGACTATGAGTTTATATTCAGTATTTCTGGGTAGAACAAAAGAGATTTCAGCAAGTCTTAGAAAGAAATGGAGCATATTACAATGTAGAGAAAAAAAAAACAAATTAGCAGTTTGCTGAATAGTACCATGTTAACTTTTACAATATCCCACAAAGACCCAATGAAGTTCTATTCAAGTAGAATTACTTCAATATATCTTAAAAAAATAAACAGGAATTAATAAAACATTGCTTTAAAAACACAAAAGTGATAAATCTAAAGTTTTCTTCTAATAAGTAAGAAATTAGATATTTAAATGATTCTTAACTTCACAAGTTAATGCAGTTTCACATTACTGATTTTTTAAAAATAAAGCAGCGCCACACTGAATCCACTGGTCTTGGTTTCCTCCACAAGGTACATCAATATTTGTCACCACACGGTCTCTCTCCACACTAGTGTAGACTGGTAAAGATATGCATTCCTCTGGAGAATATGGACCATATGCATCCTGTCAATAAGCAAGCACTTAGTTACCACTTAGACAACAAAACATGAGAAAGCAATAATCTCCAATGGTTTGGTATCTAAAGTTAACATACAGTTTAGACACTACAGCCTTGGACAGGAAAGTCTTGGTCCAGGTGACAAAGGAGAAGGATTACCAAGGATTACCAACAAAGCAGACTTCAGAAAAATTGCTAGCTCCATAACTAAAACTCCAGAAAGTATCTAACAGGAGTGATCCTGTGAAGTACATCTCAAAATCTTTGTTCAGTTAAAAATTGCCCTTTAAAATTACATGTCAAAAGTGTCTGCAAACCAGGGCAAAGGAAGTGCTGAACAGTTTCCTGCAGGGATAAGGCCCCTCAGAAGCACTTGTGCTGTACTGCAAGGAGCTGCTATCCTGGCAGGCTGGAGACCCAGTGTGGGCAGTGCCAGTGCCCTTGGCAAGCCCTTCTGCCTCCTTCATCCCTGCAGTACAACCCTGTGCTCCTCCTGTGACACAGCCCACGTTGTGACCTGTGTCTGAGACATTTGCAAGAGGGATATTTTAGGAGATACGATCAAAAAAATTTTAGCCCACACTTTTCAGGCTACTTTATGGATTTAAACAATGATTTCTAACATCATGTAATCCAATTGTAAAAATTGCTCTCTGATACAGAGAGAACTACTATACCTTACATTATAGTCTCACAGGGCCTGCACTTAATGCACAATATTAAGAGGAACCCAGAGAGAAACCCACAGTTTAGTTCGACCACAACTTAAAACAAACAAACAAAAAGCCTAAATTCCCTAGTCCTTTCCAAATACTTTTAGCACTTCTAGACATGTAGGAACATGTAAATAGTTATGGTAGAGAAAAGAAAAAAAAAGAGAGAAAAAAAAGGTAAGTTTACTGACTTTTTTTATATTATTTATTTATTTTAATGCCTTTGCTACTAATACTGATCACAGTCACAGTTCGGGTTCTCTGGCACTTATGGAAAACAGGCCAATTGCATTAAATGCCTAAGAAGGAAATTATCAATCTAACTTTAGGCAAACAGATTTGAACTGAGAGCTTTGAACTTCCATTTGAATTAATTTATAATTTTTATTCTCCTATACATGTACTTCGCCCAGCATTAGCAGTACTGCTATTTACACAGTTAAAATTGTATTGTAACACTACTCATGGAAGGAGCTTGGTTGAAGCCATGGCTTTATCTCTCAGTCTGTGTCCTGATGAACAAGAAGTGCCCTGTTCTGAGAACAGGAACAGCTCCTCTTCGCTCTCTGTACCACAAACTGTGTGTGACCTGGATATAGTTTCCTCCTAGGCCTTTGCACAGGGCATTGTTCATATGTGTGACCATAGACTTGTGCTCAAAGACTCAGTCTAGACTCCTGTAGCATGTAATTTAGGTTCCAACCAAATATGTATTTATTTAGCAAATAATTCAGGGTTTGATTGAACTGATATATATTAAGCACATTTTCCATCATACTCAAAATGTCCTTCCTGTCAATAGGAAAGTGTCAGAAGATTTTAAAGAATCAAGTAACAAAACAGCACACTTGTCAGAAAGGAATTTAAAATAAAAATGTGTCATTTTAATTCAAATCACATCAAATGTGAGTTAGTGATGCTCCAATACTGGAAAATAACTAAAAACAGGAAAAAGGAAACGTGCAAACAATAACTGTTTAAAGCACATGCCTTGCCATTACTGAAGAATTTTGTTGTCCCTTTCGAAAATCAACTTCCCCTGCCTTTTGGACACCAGTGTTTAAATCTTTACAGAAGGTCCATGCACTGTAATATTTCTATAGAGTAACTTAATAATCAGAAGTTTGTAAAGAGAGTTCAGCTGTTCTCAGAAGGATTATACTTACCCCATCTATCCCTTGGTTAACTCTGAACCAAGGGAAGCAGACAAAACACTCGCTAGTGTGAGATTAAAATGTTAATCAGAGAATTTAAGTTTTGCCAAAGCTGGGAGCCAAAAGTCAGCCAGTTTGCCTTCAAAGACCTCTTTTTACACCTTCAAGGGTCAAAATATCTGTTCTTGCACCTTTCTCAATCGCACTGATGTTTTAAGGAATCATATTATTTGAGGGTTAAAGCCATTCTGTGAAAGTCTTTTTGAACCACAAATCCTTATGTCCTTGGCTTAAGTACAGTCCAAAAATCCTCTTTTGTCAGACTGCCTCAAACACAGTTCCATCCCATTTAGTGACACCCTTCACAGCTTGGGATCTATCAGCGAATTAAAACTGGAAAGGACCTTCACAGTTTAATGAGAATAAGCACCATGTTAGTAGCCCAAAATATTCCACTGCAGCATTTTGAGGGGATTCTCTCAGAGAAATCATTTATGTTACTTTTTCCTTTTCTTTTTAGAGAGTTCATGTTTATTTTATTTTAGTTGAAAATTACCTCAAAGCATTGCATTATAAATACATACATTTTTGCTCACTAGATTTAAAAAGAGATTTTATGGGGAAAAGAAAACAAATTCAAAACCTATGAATCTTAAGATAATATGTTCAACTTTATGCACTCTTCTGCTAAGGAGAGGTAATGAAATAAGGGGAAATGCATAATGTCCAATTCTGCCCTGGTTTCTGAGCACAGTGTTTGATTATGGTCAATTTTTACAGTGAAGCTCATAGCAAAACAAGTCAAGAGTAGAACAGTTCAGAAAAGCTTTCCTTAGAGACATTTTGAATTTAAAATCTGGGCAGTTGACAGCTTCTGGTGTGTTTTATAAGAACTATATTTTTTCCCAGCACAAAGACTTCAGCTGCTATTCATTTCAAATATGAAGTACATTGGACAAAGTTTGATTAATTGATTATTGAACTATCTCACTTTTATATTTTATAGATAAAGCTCTCTGCTGATCTCACAACTTTTGGATTTTATCTTTGAAGTTTATTAAATATAGAGTTATTCAGAAAAATACTTAGCAATCTGTTTTATTTCTAAGACAAGATGAATGTTTTTCAGAACAATGGGAAGGTTACTTACAATACTAATTTCCAGTATTTTTCCATTTGGTGTTACCATGGAAAACCATGCATATTACCACCCTTCTACATCTATCTCTGAGCCAATATATTAAGGTGCCTGCCAATTCCATATTTATCCCATGCACCACCTCTCAAGTAAATCACAAATCTGTTTATTTATCTAAACAAAACAAACCTTATCAACTACTGAAGAACTGAAAAATCTTTCACTGGTCAACTTTGTAACAGGTTTTGTGTTTTGGTTTTCAGTCCTCTTTTTTTTTTTTTTAAATTTTCAGTATTTTCTATCCCATTCAACTTGGAAGCAGTGGTACAGATGGTGGCAAGCATTTACTGCGGTGTTCAAGCTCTACATCTTAGTACAGTGCTGCTATACTGTAATGTAATGGTATACTTCCACTGCAGGATATAACAATGAGAGAAAAGTTGGGATACAGTAGTGTGATAGCAATGGAACTCCTTGAACAATATCTATCACAATATATGACAAATCTAATAATTGTCGTAATCTATGATAATTAATAAATTCAATTCTAACTTAAATTTCAACTTTTTTGGCCCAGTGAACTTTTTTTTGACAGTCTTCTAACCAAAATTAGCTCTCTCAAGAGACAACTGCTGAATTATGTTGATTGCCAAATAATAGACTACAGTCAATAAATTCATTTGCTTGATGAGCTAATGTCTATAGGATGTGGGAAAAAGACTGCATTCATCCTGCTTCTCACTTTCTATTTTTCACTTGATTTTTGGTGTGAAAATCTTAATATATTTTCTTTTAGAAGTGTCTGTGGGATTCTCCTCATCTGTCTGTCTCAGTATTAGGGGTCTAGGCTGTCTTTAGAGTCACACATAGACAGAGATTTAATCCAGTTACCTTTGGATGGTATGGGCTTCCTGAGATGCCTAGCATTTACTGAGACCAAAGAAGGAGCTAAGGTGGCTAAGTGATACCAGGCAATTAACTTTGAGACACCTAAATTTAGGTGAGATGAATTCTACAATAAGCTCTTTTTCAGTCATAAGACACATCCTTGAATATTTTCTATGTAACTTTTTGCATTATTTATCAGAGATTGCTATGATAATTGGAGGATAGAAGCAGTAACAATTTTTACCGTTTGGATTACTTCACTTTCATCTTAAAATCTGCAAGCATTGACATATTTTTAAATTAGTTTAAGTAGGGGAAAGGCTTTCTTTGCTTTCAGCTCACATCGTTATCTTTATAGTCCTGTTAGATTTTAACTTAAGGTTTAAAATGCAAAGAAAATATATTCTAGGAATGAAATCTCAAACACATGTACACATTTACTAAATAGACTTTTGAAAATATGCTAATGATTTTAAAAGACAAGGAAAAAAAAAGCTATGACTGAAATAAAGTCCTTGCTCTCATCTAAGCAATAGAAGCTAAAGAATATCGACAAAATTATAATAACTTCCTGTTTTAAATAAAATAAGTAACTGCTTTTCCTAGTAAAGACTGGGCTTTTTATTTTGAAATGAAGGGGAAAACAGGTCAGCAACATCATACTGAAAAGCTAGTACACAGAAAAGAAATCAAATTATGGGTCTTGATAGTTTAGGGCTTTTAATAATTTAGTACCTGTGGAATCCAGGCCATGTAACAAGGGAGAACAGATGACACACTGGGAGAATCATGCAGATTTTCTGAAAGTCGATTTCCATCAAAACGGCAACCTTCCAGTTGTAAGCCACTGATCTGCCACGGAGATGGAAAATATTCAAACATACAGAACAGATTTGAAATGTCAATAATGATTACACTGTGCTTTAATAAATGATGAACCTTTTTACTGTGACCAAATTTTTAAATAACAGGAAATTAATTATTGGAATGTTCTGCATGAGACTAGGAAACATGATTTAAAAGCAAGATCTGGACCACACTTTGGCATGAACTTCCTCTGATTTGAACTCACATTCTTTAAAATGCGGGGGAAAAATAGCTGTAAATGTAATCAATTATGAAACTGCAGTTGCCTGGCATTAGGTTAATGGAATTATGATAGCAACAGCCAAGTACACAACCATTACAATGCCTAGCAAGGAGAAGAACAATCACTGAAATAAGCATGGCTTCCTGCTTGGAAGTCTGAACGCAGCTTTCAAAGAATGGAATGTGTGGTTACACAGCTTCGGCAGAGGCAAACAAAATATAGTGAAATAACACAAGAGAAAATTTTATTTAACAAAACTCAAGATTTCTTAGATTAACTGTTATTTGGCAAAAAAATAAGAATCACAGATGCTTCTGTAAGTAACTATGCATATGTAACATGTTTCAAGTGCTTTTTCTTTTGATTAGTAAGTAATTTCAGCCTCTGAACTAAACATTCCCTTTTTTCTTCACTGAAGTCTTCCATAAATCAGTGACAGTGATATCTATTCTGGATTTCCTCTAACTAAAATTTTCAATATTTGTTGATCATTTTATTTTCCCAGTACAAATAACAGTAGTTTGCCAGTATAAATAATAATAATATTTGTCAGTTTACCTGCTGAAGTGAGAACTTCAATTTTAACAGTAATAAATAACCCAGTATTAACTTTCATGTAGCTTTTCAAAAGGCTAACTCAAGCTGCAGTAGATATCTAACAGAAACCACAGTCTGAAAATCATCTGTCTATTATATTATCATACTAAAGCCCTGAACCAAATTTGTAATACTGATGTCAGCTTTCACCAAATGCAAGATTAACAAAGTAGTGCTGGAATAAGAAATAGAATGCTGTTGTAAACTGAATGAGTGACCACATAACCAAAATGGAGAAAAATACCATTTCCTAAATACGTTTTCTCTTGCAAGACATTTTAAAAAGTGTACCAGATTTTTAAAATGGATTAAAGTATGATATTACAATGAAGATCAGTATCATAGAAGATATAATGAAAATAATTTTCTTAGGTAATTTTAATATTCTAAAATTATTTGATAAGAAAAGTTGGAATTAAACAGTAACACAATGGGGTTTACTGTCCTGCTTGCAAAGCAATGCTTTCCTCCCAGGTGTTAGGGGTTTTTTGTCAATTGTCTACTAACTGTGTACTAGCTAAGATTACATTTTGCATTTTTAATATCTAATTATTCTTTTGATTGTAGACAGGCATTGCACTCTTCAAGAATTTTCTTCTTTCAACTTATATTTTTGTCTAATTCTGATCTGGGGACTCATCCTTACAATGTGTGAAATGTAGATGTACATATTCTAATATGAAAAAAATGGTTATGAAACATGGCTTTTAAAAAATATATAGAACAAAGCTGTGTTTCTCCTTGGACTGTGATCAGAGAAGTCAACAAAACTCTTTGGAGAAATCTGTGCTCCAGAAAGACTAGAACTTACAGTAAAGCCTTCAAAACTATGGATAACCTGAAACAAAACAACCCCAAATGGAAAGTTCAGAGTAGTATGACTTTTTGTCTAACTTTAACTTCCACAAATTATTACAAGAAGCCCTCAGTGAAATTAATTACATTTTTCATACTTACTATCTGGAACTGCAAAAATGCTTTTTCTCCTTCAATCTCTTTTCAAAAGCTTAAGGTCTGCTCTTCATTATGAAAATGTGACAATATTCTCACTTCTCCTGACAAGTTTATTGTGATCTTTTCAGGTATGTTGCTTTTAAGATATAAAGTTAACATTTGATATTTTCCACTGTTTCTTTTCAGACTCAAAATCTCTTAAGAGAGATTTTGGAAAAAACTGGCTTTATGCAGAAAAAAAGAATTTTGGGTGTCAGTAATCTTTAACAATAGCCGATATCCATTCCAGTGCCACTTCTGTCTTCCAAGAAGAAAGATTATGAATAAAAATACCATAAATGGCACAAAAGGAAGAAAGCCTTACTAATGATTATACTGAGGCTTTCTCACAGACTCCTTCCTACAGGTCTCTGTTGTTAACACTGATACTTAGGACCTCACTTTATTATATGCATGGGTCCCAGGTTACACTTTATCTCACTACACTTCTGATTGAATGCTTTCAAAGCTCTTACTTATCCCTATCACACTAATATTAGAAAGATTCATCTCCTGTGTTCTTCATTCTACCCTTCCTGCATTCTGCAGGGAATTTTGTTATGAAGTTTAATTTAATAAATAAATGAATTTGGCAAAGTTATTGAGGGAAGATTGGCCTGATGAAGAGGTTTTAAAATTTAGTGTTGGAGTGTTCAAAGGTCTGGCCATCCTCAATATCTCTAAAAGAAATTTTTATAGAAGTGGGTCACCTATTGAAAAATCTCTTTCTACTCCACGTTACTTCTTTTGATACTGGTGGTTCCTCTGACATAGTTACATAAAATAATATCATTTGGTCTCCTGGAAAACTTCAATCAATGTTAGAAACTCCTTTTAAGATTAAGACCAAAATTTTTACTTTGATGCAATATTAAAAGACATTAAATAAAAAACCCAACAACACCAGAACAATATACTTTCTGATATTGTCTGGCTGAGTACTCCAGAGCCATGTGCTCATTGCTATGATAAACACTGTAGAGAAATTACAATTACTATGAAGGACATGGATTTCATAGCATCTGTAATATAATCATAGTATCTTTGCAACACAGCTGAGAGTAATGGCTAGACTTGACCATAATTTTTAAAATTTGAATTCTTACAAAGAATTTGGCATTTCACAACTACTGGTACTAGTTCAAGTTCACAACAGTTATTTTTAAACATTACAGACTATGTTTTTTTAAAATACATTTTTAGAAAGTGTGCTGATACCATGGTCCAAAGCATGTCTGTTTCCAAAATTTCAAATTTTCTGCAATTAATTTTCCCTTACCAATTAATGCCATAATTTCCTATGAAATGATGCAAACTACATCAGATTTCTGGAAGTCATATTTTCACTTCATTAACTCTACAGGCCTCCATCATTAATTTATTGGTATTTCAGGATGAGGGTATACTGTAAAAAAAGACCTCTTAGGATGCCCTACAATAATATATCTGTCAATTGCTAAGACTATATAGTTTCAATATTAATACTGATATTATGTATTTGAGACTTGCAATAATTTTTTATTTTTCACTAGTTCTACACAAGCTCATAGTACTTACTACTGAATAATTTCTTGTCATGTTTCTTCCTTTCCCTCTTTTCTACAATAACAGAAAATGGAATGCCAGAAGGAATGACTACCTGCTTTTGTACAACAGCACAATCAGTGCACAAAGCAAACAGAAGAGATGTATTTGCATTTCAGTATGTGATAAGCATGCAATAGTCATACATTTTCAGTACCTTTTTCTTAAAGCAGTCTGAAGGGATATTAAAGAAGGTGTAATTTTACCCAGATTGATTCTAAATCAAATATACATCACATCCTACTAGAAGAGATCTACTTCACATCATACATCTAAATTATCACCTGAATTAACACTGATAACTTACCATCTGATTTGATAGTTCATACATACTAAGGTGTGTTCTTGGTCTGATTGAGTGTTCTTCTGCTTACTTTGTAGTTTGTACACTGACAGTTCTACCACTGCATGCTTCTGACTTACAGATGATCACAGGGTATATTATTTGCAATTTTTGGCATAGAAGGGTCAAATGTCTAGAACTGCTGAAGCATGATGCATTTTTTAAAATTACAGCAAGACTGAGAAAGCATTTTCGTCATACAGACCATAAAGAAATTTACTCCTTTTCCTTATAAGAACAAATTCTAAGCCATCAAAAACTTTTAAAACTAAAGGCAAGGAAAAAAAATCCAAAAGAATGTGTCTTCAAATCACTCCCTAACTGACAGTGTGAATAAGAAAGTTATACAAAGTATGTGTGAATATCAGGTTTAAATTCATCTGCATTCCTATGTGTTTCAACAACTCTCCCATATCCTAAAAGAGAGTCCCCCAATTACGTGAGTACAGAATCAAGTCTCTCAGTGGAATTAGTCACACAAAGTGAAATAGTACCATTAGCATAAATTGAGACTGATAAACCTCAGAATAGCCTACACTATGGTCTGGTTCCTGCAGGGGAGTCTGGTAAACTACAATTTCTAATTTAGGTGGGATAAAACAAGGTCCCAGCTATCTCACCACAGCATGTGTATAAGGACTTATCTATTCTGCTGACTGATTTTTTTTGAGTCCCTACTCAGAATAGCTCCCCATTCCACAAGGTTAGCCTGAATTCTTGAAACTGCAAATACAATGTTTACTTTATCAGTTTTAAAATTCATACTGCTGAGATGAACCAGGCCTAATGTGCAATCCTTAGGATCCTTATCAAACAAGACACATTTTAGAGAACGATTTTTCTGAATCAATGACATTTTTATGCCCTAGTTACAGTGTATGTGGTATTTAGCCTTACTAATGTGAAAGTTTCTCCCCAGTTTTCCTTGAGCATGAAGATGGATTCTAAAGCTAAGGAATCTAAATATTCAGCATTGCAATGGGTTTCAAAGCCTTTCTGTTCATCAAAGATTCAAAGGAGCAGTGAAAATACTAGTGAATGCTTATTAATAGAGATTAAATGAATATTGCTCTTAGAGGTAAAGATAATATTCAAACCAAATGAAGAAACTTGACAGGATTCTTATGTTTTGTTAAAAATAACCACTCATCTAACTGCTTGTACTATTCCTGTGGCAGAGAATTTGGTCTTAAACAAAATTCTCTTTTTATTTTTGGTTCCTCTTGGAACATAAGACTCATTCTTGCAAGGCAATAGAGAATATACATTAACCTTTTTGCCTACATATGACATAGACTGCTAACAGTATACTTTAACTAGTATTACCAAAAATTTACCACATAAATTTTCACATAGTAGAAGCTTCAATTAGAAGTTTAATAACAACTGGAGTACTGCAACCATAAAATAATGTGATTATTTTTAATATACGAAAATACTGAGGTAAAATTATTCATGCATGGACTTGAGGTATTTGACATCGACTTCTGACATTTCAAAGATATTAGAATGGTTTTGAAGAAGTTCAGGTTCCTAGAATCTACAGCTGATAGTTAGCCTACTAGAATGAGTGGCCTGAGATGTGAAACTCAGTTTTGGCTTACTGGTAGAAGTCTTAGATGAATCTGTCACCTCAGAACACGTGATTTGTGGGCTCCAAGGTTTGTCATATACCAGGTTTATTTCAAGGAACTGAATTGCCCTAAAAGTCCCTTGGTTTATTTATGTCCAAGTTCTAGACTCCTATCTGTTTCTCATTAAACAAACAGGCAACCATTACTCTTACTTAAATACTAAGATTGAATAATTCTCAAAAGAATATTCTCTAGTTCCAAAGGAATTAATTCAACAAAGTTCTAAAGACTGTATTGTATAAAGGTCAGTTTGGATGATTACAGTTATCTTTACTGGCCTTACAATCTATTAAGATTTTAGGAATATGAATTCTTACCCATTCTGTATTAATAATTTTAGACAGTGTCAGCAACCAGCCCAGATCCCAAATCTCTCCCACAGCTTTCTGTCTGCCTGCATTATCAAACTAGAGAATGTACCCTGCCACTTGCTTTCCTAGCCTAGCAATCTGCTTGCTTTAGCTGCACATGAGGAAAACAGTCACGTGGTGAGTGCCCTGCGTTAGTCACATGTTTCTGTGAGGATGCAGTTTTAAGTGCTTTGCTCTGTGCTGAACACAGAACTTGGAGCTGTGCAGGATTATCATGGGACCAACATACATGTTGGAACACATAGTGTAGAAAACTTATTTGTCAATTGCCTAGAAAATTAGGTATAAAAAAGGTGCACAAAGATCTGGATTCAGCCAAAGTGGCAATTCTACATGAAATGTTAAGAAGCTAAATTAAACCAGACTTTGCTGTCTAAGCAATCAGTGGTCACTTCATGGTTGCTGGCTGTAGGCCTAAGATTAAATTGTTAATTAATTTAAAAATTGTCAGGTCTTTACCATATAAAAAACTAGCCATATCATAGTGTACTTTGGCTTACTTCCTTAGAGGTCTCTTTTCAGTGCTTCAACAAATGCTAATGTATGGCCTTTGACTGATTTATATGTGTATTTCCCCTTGCTACATGACACAAGTCCTTCTGGAGAAGAGTTAGACTTTAACTAATGGAATCTCAGCTTCAATTTTTATTTAAGAGGTGGTTGAAGAAAATAAAGCAAGAGTAAGCTTAATTTTTAAATAGCACTATGACTAGGGAGGATAAAAAAGATACTGCCATCTTTTTCTAATTTTTGTGGCTTGTCAACCATTTTTGTAGCTGTATACTATTGACCAGCCTTAGTTTTCCAGAAAGTTTATGGACAGATGACTTGGACTATGCTAACAAAACACCCTAAAAATTCTAGTAAAACATCCCAGTAAAATACCTTAACTTGGAGTTTGCCTTCCTGTATTCGTCCTTTCCATGAAGCTGTAAATTTAAGGCTGTCCACTGAACAGCTCATTACTCTGCAAAGGAAACACATATACAGTAAATCTTAGACATGTAACAGGAAATGAAACAAAAAACTAAATCCAATGTATTTTCAATGCGTACCATATCATACTAACTCTTACTCTGAAGAAAAACACATCTTTATTCTAATCGAAAAAAATAACAATCAGCATTTATACAAGTAACTCACAGTTATTTTACTTCAAGGCAAGAAACACAAATGAGATGATTAATTAAAGCAATTGACATAACATGCTGCATCTGTGTCCTGAAAATTAAATAACCATCTTCACACATAGGGAGCAATGGTATAGTAGCACAAATAGCACAGATATTTTTCCCTCACCTTGCAGTCTCCTGGCGTAAGGCATTGAGAAATGTGTCAGGATGAAACAGCTCTGAAAGGTCAAGGGTGTCTGAAAATAGTTTCTGTTTCTCTGCTTTTTCTACCCAATTCTAAAAGAGAAAATAATTTTTAAAAAAAGGAAAAAAAGGAATCCTGAAGTTATTGCTTGATTTTTCAACATTTTGAGTTAATGTAGGTTTGTCAATTATTATGATTAATAAAAAATGTTTGTGTAAATATACTGTAACCTCAAAGATTATTATTAATTTCAAAAAATTAAAACTGGTAAAAAGGAAATTAACACCATTTAAAAGTATACAGCAGTCTATCTGTAACATGACTCATCCATTCTAAATAAAGTTCTATTTCATTCTTTATACAGTGCAGCTCACTTTGTACAGTGCAAATTTATCAAGCTTCTATCATTGTTGAAACCCTATTTCACATAGGGGAGTTTCAGTTTTCCATCAAAACGGTGCCATTGCTGTCTAATAAGTTCAGGCAAATAATTGCATTCCTTTCAAGTATGCTTTAATATCAGTTTTTTTGTATAAATGGCATGTTATATTCAAGAAACACTTAATTTTCGATCTGCAGTTAAGAGTTTCTGTAAGTACTTACCCTTTATTTGAAAATATGTTACCTAGTATTAGGTTTACGCTGCCATTTTTAGTGTAGTAGTTTGAGACATGGATTCATAGAATTTATCACAAGATAAAAACTGGCTCTGTTGTATTTGGTAATAAATGAAACTAATAAGGGCAGGGGAATAACTGTCCTCAACTATCCTTACAAAACATGTCTCAACTTTCTTCTACCCTTTCCAACTATGCAACTATGAAACCTGTTACTGGAGTACCAAGCGTGGAATTTCCCATCAATGCAACACATTATGTGCCAATATGAGAAAAGAGACCCACATTGCACCTTAAAATCACGGTAAACCATGTATCCTAAGTAATGCAAACTGAGTTTGAACCTCAAAGTACTAAAAACTGCAGACTAAAGAATTTGTTACCTTCAGGCAAGTTATTTAGGTACCTGAGTAGCTATGCAATAGTCCACACTCAAAATCCTCTTTTGAAACTCTTATAATGTAGCTCTTTGGAACAATTTCTTTACATGATATAGTCATAGTCCTGACCATGGCACTGTAGTAGAAACCTGAAGTCACTGTATAACCTACTCTATAAGCAGTTGCAAGCCATTTGCTTCTGCACAGAAAGATTAAGTGTTCAATGACAGGATGGACAGGGCTTTGATCAACCCGGTCTAGTGGAAGGTGTCCCTGCCCGTGGCAGGGGGGTTAGAACTAGATGATCTTTAAGATCCCTTCCAACACAAACTATTCTGTGATTCTACAAATACTAAGCCAGAAATTCATTGGAGACCAAGATTCCACATGTTATCACTAAATAAAGACAAGTCCTACTCCTTTCTAAATACCAACTACTTGCAGATGATAAAATTGCACTAGTCACTGGATAAAAAATCTTGGAAGTTACACTCTCATCACACAATGCACCTGCCAAACATCCATATCACACTTAAAAAGTATTTTAGTATATTGTTTAAACTAATGACTAATGAATAATTTCATAGAAGCATTTTGGAAGTGACAAAATCATCTAAAATGCAAGTAAATATCACTCAGTGAATTTTATTTTATATTGTCAGCATGTGACACACATCTCCATAATGTTTCCACCACGATCAAACCTTTAATCAGTGATCTTTTTATCTGCCACATCACTGATTATGAGCCCTCAACCCAAATGATTATGAATCAGTTAGAAGATTTTTGCTTTCCATTTTCATTAGATTAATGTACGCAGTTAGTGACTCTTGTCTGCATGACTCTTTTAATGACTTTATGCAACGATTTCTTTTATCATATAGCAGTAACTCTGCATTCTTGTTAGGAGAGATTTTGTAAATTGTTTGACATAATAGAAGTAGACATACATTTCAACTTATATTTAATATAATCGTTCTATTGCTGTCATCAAATAAACTTTTAATGTAACTGCTAAAGAGAAACACTGTCAGGAACACAGATGTTTATATTCCACCCAATTAAAAGACGAGTATGAGTGATATTAATTCTGAACTCATATAATTAGCACTACGATATACACAATAACAAAAACTTTCATTAGGTCACAAAAGCAAAGTTCATAATGGCTTGTACTTCTCTACATAAAACTGAAGATGTAGCTCATTCATAGCCAATTAATAAATAATTTAAGATTTAAATGCAATAAAATGGTAATAGAATGTATGTGACAACACAATTGTAAAAAATATCCTTATGCTTATTTTAGTTTTATATGACCACATGGCAGCATGTTAGTGAAGAGGTACAGTCTCAAAAGACAACATCAGTTTATTCAATGGATCATTTGTCACTAGTACACCCACTGCAACAAGGCTTGGAAGAGATCAGCTATTAAAGGGAAGGAAGTTTAAGCTAACCTGTAGACAGACTGATGTTTCTTGAAAAGGAAAAATCCTGTAACAGATAGTTACCCCTCATTCCAGCTCCTATAAAAACATGCATTGACTGCATTTGTCAAAGTGATGCAAAGTTGTCTGACTTCTTATTCATCTTGGATTGCCATGTAGCATTTCAGTCTGAAGGGCTTTCTTCCATGACCAACTCAGTAGAAAACTTCGCCTTTCCTGCCAGGTAGCCCACAATAATGCATGCATTTGTCACTTCTTAGCTGCATCGTAGTAAGGAGACTACTGTCAGCTCCAAGAATGTGCCAAATTTAGCTACTCGTCTCTTTGTGGTTCAAGCCGGTACCGATGCTTTCCCAACTGCTTCCTCACTCCTAACTCTCGTAACATGGTCTTTAAGAGGTTTGCTGCAGTTCAGGTTTTCTTCTTCAAAACAGCTAATAATCAAGATCTAAATTCACTAAAGGCCACTTTTGGTGTATCAATTAATAATATATTTTTGTTTAGATACAGCAGCTATAAAAGGTATAGTAAAGCTAAAAAAGTGTATAACTTATTTTTAAAAATAAACTAATCTTGTATCAATAATTTCTATCATTCTAACAATGTGGTCTATAAGTCCAAATATCCTAACCCTGAAAATATTTTTATTACAAAATAAAATTAAAAATCTATCATATACTCTTCTTTGCAACTGTTTCTATCAAAATTTAATTTCAGTATTTCATTATTTCAATATTTCCTGAATCTTTCTTATTACAATTAAACTAGAAATTTGTCTGAACTCTGATAGATTAGTTTAGCAAATTATGATTATAAGTATAATACCAAAACTTATCAGCAATATCCAAAATGCTTGAAAAGAAATTCCTAGCAGGATATTCCAAAACTTCAATTAATATGAGGTTCTGTTTGCTATAATAAAAAGATTTTCTTTATTTTTTTTCCTTACGTGGCCTCAGGTGATTCAAATAATATTTTTTCATATATCTTAATATCCAAGAAACATCTATTCTATTTTCAAAGAGAAGCCTTCCTTATCATCTCTAATCCCAAAGCAAACTGAGCACCTCATTGAACAGTGGAAAGAATAAGGAGGCTGCCGGATTTTCACATTATCATTTATACAACTTTAGGATCACAGAACTCCTCTAAAATCAATCAAGCACTCTTCCTTCACCAGTTTTAGTTCATTCCAAATGTATTTTCTTCTATCATATTTTTCTGTTGCTGTAGTCCCAGAAGAGAACTTATATTAAAAAAAAAAAAAAAGAAAACAACACAAAGAACATAAAAATCACTACAAAAGTGATTTCATTTCTGTGCCTAGATGGAAAATTGTATTCAGTGCTACATGAATATGCATAGTCGGAAACCATGTAGTAAAATTTTTGTTTTTCCACTAGTTTTAGATGGATTCAACATTACTGGGGGAAAAAAGTGCAGGACTTTGGATAATTCTGAGAGTAAATGATGGTGAGTACCACTGATAGGGGAGTAAATATGCAACTAACCAGAGTTTAGACTGAGCAAAGGTCAAACAAGAAGTTAAGCTACAGTCCTATTTTCTTCACAGTGCAGCAGCTGTTCTATAGGTGTGCTCCTAAGTGTTGGCATTCAGTGGTTAATGCCAGCAGGATTGATTGTATTACAGTTCAAGGAAATGAAATAGGGGCATTTTTTCAGGCATTGAGCCCAGAGGCAGTAACGTGGTAGGTTCTAAGGAACAACCGGTATAGGACAATTTGCTCCCTTCTGGTAATATTTTTTTTGTATGTGAAATCCTTGAGCCATTAATTCTGATGTAGTTATCCTTTATTAAATGAATTTCTGAATACTGCAGTATTTCAGGTATATATCTGGCAATAATAAGTAATCAAATGATAAATAACACAGTAATTTAATTTGGAGTTTATGTCTAGTTTAAAATTTTTCTCTTCCTGTTTTTCTTTTCTCCCTCCCCTCCCCTCCTCTTCCCTCCCCTCCCCCCTCCTCTTCTTTCTTTCATTCAGACCAAGACTGCTGGCTAGTGCTTTAAATAAAGTACTACTATTTCTTTATTTCAGTTTGAAATACCTCAGAACTCCCCAGTTTATTCAGGAAGTCTGAACAACAACACAATAGCACAGTGTTAGAGCATGAATGTTCTGAGTCCATCAGCATCAGCATGTTAGCTAACGATGTGCTAGAAGCAAATATGCAGTAAGGTTTAGCTGAGAGAAGCATTAGCAAATGTGATCACATTCTGGTTACACTATGACTTTATTTTTTATCAAAACAGGAACTTAACTTTCCATAAACTGCTGCTTTCTACATTTAATTCAGATACCATAATGGTGATGATGCATAAGAACCATAACAACATACTGACAAGTTCATGATTGATGCATGCCAAAATTATATTTCAGATTAACTTTCAGATATTCACCTGTATGATAATTAAACACAGAATCCAGTTAGAATCCAAAACTCTTATGCTTCATGCCTTCTAGTCTTTTCTTTCTCCACAACTAAACACATCCATTACCAAGTATTAGATTTCATTTACAGTTCCCTTACTGGCTAAGGAAGCATAAGAGCTGGAACTATTCCTTGGTGGAACTTCCACTGATAAATCGCAGGGGAGGGAAAACAGTGACACATAATA